GAGCAAAAGGGTCCAGCTGATGCTCCTGATGCTCGCCTGGCCCCCCCTAATCTGAGCAAAAGGGTCCAGCTGATGCTCATGATGCTCGCCTGGGCCTGACATTTAGACTATACATAGCTCATAAGAGCTATTGCCCAAAGTGCCACTAATACTTAATTTTGCTTATGAACCCCCTTTTCAAAAGGCCTTTATGGGCCCCTGTTTGGGTGTTTTCAGCCTAGTTTCCGGGAGGGTAGAGCCTAAAGCCATGCTTACCAGGTTTGCATGGATGTGCTCAGGTTTAGGGTTCGGGGTTTAAGGGTTTAGGGATGTAAGCTTTTCGCAAATTGAGAACGCTAACAAGGTATTCTGCACGTGTCTCTGCCGGGGAGGGATCGCCCCTGGGGGAGCTGCAAGTCATCCTCTTGGTCTCGGACCTTCTTTGAGGTTTTCTCATGGAATTCTACCAGAAAGGGGTGCCTTTCCATGAGCCCAATCTCTAGCTGCAAACCTTGGGTCTTAGCAAAACATTTTGATAAGGAGCCTGGATAATTTCCAAGATCATCCCCTGGCCCTTGTACTCCTTGTGTAAGGCTAGTATAGTATACCCCCCAAGCCCTATTCAAATTGAATGGACTTCCGCATTAGTTTGCAGGAGCTAAGTTGTCAGGTCTTCTAACGGAACTTCTGTAGGCGCTCGAAGGCCCACGCTTAGGCTTTTTCGGCTGAAGATCATTTAATCCACAAAAACGTGCAAGATTTCGATGCCCTTTTTGAACCCCCATACATTTCAAACAGGAAGCGTTTCTGCCTGGAATTTTGACACCTTTCCTTCAGGCCCCACCAAGCAACGAGTTCGAGATCATTCCATCTCGCGGCACCCTGCTGCCGAACTGTGCACAGCGAATTCAGGCCATTGTGCTCGGTTGAACATGCAAATTTGGTATTCAGTGATGGTGTTGGTGCATGTGTATGGGTTCATTAGGAGTCTTGGCAAGTAGGCGGACCGGGCGTCCTGTTGTGGACCATAAGTTTCCATCAAACCTACGGACTGTAGAGTTCCGTGTTTGTATTCCCAGGTTTCGACATGTCTGATTATATTTAAACAAGGACGCCTCTGAGGAGTGTGGCGTTTTTTTAGCTAAAGCTAGTGGACTGCAGACAGCAGCTTAGCTTGCATCTTTGGCAATCGATGTGAATCCGCTGTTGCGCTGTTTGGCTGCCCATGTCTACAAAACTCTGCCATATTGTGTGGAATATTGCCACTACTTGTAAGATTACTACAATTGTTGTTCTTGTTCCTCTTCTGATTTTTGATTGCGATTATTAAATATCTGGAGGCAGCTTTCTGGTCACCCAGCTCTTGTCAGTGCTCTTGAAGTGATTCGAAATTGAAGTCCATTGCCGTGCGATCTTCCGACCCAGATCTGCATTTTCCCTACAGGTGTCCCTTTGACGGATAGTGACTGTAGCCTGGATACTGCCCCCCACTCATGAACAGTAACCAGATAGAGCCCTTAATATGACCCATGCTATAGGCTGTGAATGGGCGGAGGCAGGAATCAAACTATAGTAGTAGTGCCCTTGACGGTTCTTGGGGCATTGCTTCTTGGTACAGGTAGTGCCTACATGGAAAGACATGTTGAACAATCTCTCTTTGCTTGCCTTCTGAGAAGGCACCCACCTTGGAAAATGATATGAGCGCTATGCCTTAGGTGGACCCCCCCACCCAGGAATAGTGACTATAAGGAAGAAGGATTACTTTAGGGCCCTCTTATAACCCTTGTGTACCACTACTCCAGCTAAGCTATGCCAGGTAGATTTCATCAGCAGCACGGAGAAGAAGTATGACACGAGGTCGCCGTTCCGAGTCGTTTGCTTGGGATTTTTAGAAAGAAGCCTGGCATCCTTCCTGAGACTTTTGCAGGAGTTGGCATGAATTCAGGTAAGGGCCTTGCTGGGTAATAAGGATTGGAGTGCAGTGGGGGTCATGTTGAGGCTCCCGATTTGTGGACCCCTCCCACCCTTCCCCCCCCATATTCCCAGACTTAAACCGCATCGTCATCCCGCTAAAGCCTAAACCCTATATCAAAGACACACCAACCTCTAAACCCTAACCCCTAAAAACCTGAGCCCTAACCCTAAGCCCTTAAATAATGAAGGAAAGGGCCTTCGGTACTGCAGATGCCTGAATACTTACGCATACCATGCCCTAGTAATCCTTTTACAGCTAGCATTTAACATATGCACCTATTTGAACCAAACTTCGATTTTGGGCATTTGCTTTTCCATTTGGGTGTCCATTCTTCTAATGCTTTGGGCCCCTAAACCCTACTGTGCAAGGCATGTTCAGAGGTACCCATTGCCTTGCATGGCACTTGCACGTTCACTTGGCTGTCCTGACTTGACTTACTGACTCGTACTCATTACTGTGGTATTTGTCATCCTGTATCCGTGTGCATATTATTCGGACCATTATCCTACTGGTTCTTAGTCGGGAAGGATGGAATATGATCCCTATATACTACCTATGTAATATTTTCCCTTATTCCAAGAACCAGTAAGTTCCCTAAACCCTAAACCCTAAACCATTTTGGTAGTGTGGACCTGACAGGGTTTGAGTTGAAAGGGATGCAAAAGCCCATAGCCCTTAGCAGCTCGTCAGGGTCCTTCCTTGACGGCTGTTTGGTTTAGGAGGTGTGGGAGCTGATGTTTTGTCATTGAGGGTTTAGGGTTTAGGGTCAGGGTTGTATATTGGGGTATTGGGGATAATGGAAAAGACAGTGGAAACCACTATAATGGGTTATGTAGGGTTTAGGAGCATTCTGAGCTATAGTCTAAACTTCTTAAAGGCTGGTTATCCAGAAGAATGTATATATACATATATAAATATGAGACTACTATAGGGGAGGGGGACGCGAGGAGTTTATACTATAACCCCAATAATCCACTATTTAATCCCAGTTTCCATTTCATTTTCCATTTTCTTTTCCATGTGATTCTCCATGATTAAGTGGGATACTAGGAGTTTAGACCATAGCTCATGGGATGGGGCTACCCCTTTGACGTGTTACGGTAGGATCTCTCTGATTCCGGCTGTGCAAGCATCTCCAGATGTCACGCAACCTTGCTTGTTCGCGGTTTAGGGCTTAATGTAGACCCCTGATTAATAAACCCCCTCCCCTCAATAGGGATCAGGGGTCTACAGCACGGTTTAAGATTTAGGGTGTAGGGTTGGCTCCTTACGAAACTGCTCAGACCCCCTCTTCCGGCACGAAAACTTTTTTCAAAAGCTAGAGAGCTCCACAATGCAGCGCTTGGCCAAATATACACACACACAGACACAGACTGGGCGAAAGTAATTATCGCAGTATGTCGGGTATTTTTTGTAGGCTAAGCAGTGCTGACGTTATCCAGCATGACAGGGTTTAGGATTTAGGATTTAGGGTTTAGGGTTTCTGTTTGCAAAACGGTGCTGGTCAGACACCTTGCCAGGGCCACTTGAGTAGCACTTGGGAATGCTATGATCGCCAATATAGAGTAGGATGATATGCATTATTTCCTGCTTTTGGGCATGCTATTCTATGAGAAGAACACATTCTAACTTGGTTCAATTACCAAAAACATTACACACTTGTACAGTTCCGGCCTAACCACTAGTGAGCAATTCTACTTCATAAGCCCTGTCCGCTGCCAGGCTTTCTGTGGACCTGGAGGGTGTCGGGAAGGACCCAAAACCCCAAACCCTAGAGGGCACGGTTCACCATGGGAAGCCCGAAACCCTACACCCTAAACTGAAAGCCGCGGCACATTTTGCCGGCAAGGGGCAACGTTGAAGGCATGGGAGATAGAAGCCTCAAAGATCGACGCAGACCTTGCGCGACTACAGTGAGGTATCGAAAGTGACTTCCCCAAGGTACCAGGTGAAGCTCCAGAAAGGGAACCTCAAAAGTAATGGACCTGTTTTTTAGGTTTTAGGGCTTCTAGGTGTACCTGACAAAAGGAGGCTTAGGGTTTAGGCACCTCGTACATTGCTTTGTAATGGTCAGGCGAAGGCCGCAAAACCAGCAGTCCCTTTGATGTACTGCCCGGGGTGGCTGCGCTTGGGATGATGTGAGCTATAGTGTAAACTCCTTAAAGGGGTTATTGAGGGGATTATATAGGGGACTGCTATATAGGGGTTATCAAGGGAGATACTAGGAGTTTACATTACGGCTCATGACAAAATCAGGCATGCCTTCTTGGCACTATCCTGTGTGAAGCTTATCACCATGAGAACTTTGATTTGGATAGATCCACAGATATGAAGGAACAGGACCCGGAGCCCTCCCTAACTTTCCAATCCCGAAACAAGGTGCAAAGAAGCTGTAGCCAAGGATGATATGGGAGAGAGTGTAGTTACCATTCCAAAATGAGCTGTAGTCTAAACCCCTGAAAGGGTTTTTATAGGGGGTTATATACGGGAGTACTTTAGGAGTTTAGACTATAGCTCAAATGCAAGCTTTGTAGATCATAGTTCGTGTGTAAGCTTCTGCAAATCTAGTAAGCGGTTGACACCTCAGCCATCGGCAGAGCCTGTGGAGGTAGATACACCCTCGGAGTACTGCATGGATGTCGTGAGTTTAACGCACCTTTTTCACAGTGTTTCTCTCCTATCTAGGTTTTCTCAAGCTCAAAGGTCCCTTTTGGCCTATAGTATTTGGGGGAATAATCATCTGTTTCAGGATGATGAAAGCTGCTTTTCTTGAAAGGAGCTCCTCTCCATCCCCATCTTTGCACAGTGTGCCGTTCCTACTGTCAGGGCCTCTGGGTATCTATGGGTGTTTGGCTCAGGGTTTAGCTTGAGGGTCTTGAGGTTTCCGGGTGCCTAAGGTTGCGTGGGTCCATGGTTGCAGGAGTTATTACCTGGGTAACATCTAGGATCTTGGGGGCTTACTCCGTGATGTTCTCCTACACCCCAGACATTGAAGACATTTCTGGACGAATCATCGCAGATATGTCTGTAACATGAAGCTTTGAAGAGTTGTCAACCGCCTGTTCTCACAGGCTTTTACAAGGGCACTACAATCCACTCACTCAGAAAGCAGACATCTTTAGAGCCTGTAGAGGGGTGCCTACCCCAAATTCATGCAAGGATCCATGCATGAAAGGCCCTGAAGAAAGATTCACGGGCTTCTGTGGCTCCTATTTGCGAGCCCAAAGCAAACAGCCCTAGAAGGAACACACAAAACCCCAGACACTGAGCCCTAACCCTGATTTTGAAGGGCTAGGAGTTCCTCGATCAGGCTTCGGAGTGTCTGGGTTTGGGGTCGAGGGTTTAGGATTGCGTTGGAGGATAGCACAGGACTATACCGTAGGCTTCCAAGCCTTAAAGCCCAATCCCTCAAAAACCTGACACCTTAAACCCTAAACCCTAAGCCCTAAACCCTAAACCCTAAATCCTCACTGAAAACCTGATACCTTGATGCCCAAAGAACCCTGGACCTTAAGGCCAAAGCCCAGGACCTTACCCTAAACTCTAAATGTTGGGTACTGCCCCCACTCAGCAACAGTTGGATAATAACTATAATATAGGTATATATAGCCCTTAATAGGACCCCTAATATCGACTGTTACTGGGGGGGGCAGTACCCAACCTAAACCCTAAACCCTAAACCCTAAAATCCTAAACCCTAAACCCTAAAACCCTAAACCCTAAACTCTAAACGCCAAGACGCCCACCGCTTCAAGGTTTCCTTCGAACCGCACGGCTGCCTGAACTACGGGGACGTGTTCATCAGGCTTGCGGTGGGGTTAACGTGCTTTAGGGTTTAGGGTTTGGAGCTTGGGGTTTAGGGCTTAGGATTTAGCTTAGGGTTCAGGGTTTAGGGTTTAGGGTGTTGCTTAAGGGGGTGGGGAAGGGGAGGGGATCCTTATGATGAATTATCAGTGTGTAATTGTCCGTATATATATATATATATACAAGTATTTTTGCATAATTCCGCATGACCGTTTCTGCATTCACTAGCCCGCTCCTCCCTAAGCGCCAGCTAGGAACGTTGGAGTTCCGAATGGGAAGTCTAAGGACCCGTTATGGGGATCAAAAGGATTGTATGGTCTTCTTGGGGGATGATTATTGGGTTGAGTTGGGAAGTTCCGGGTGTAAAAGCTGGGATTAGGACATCCTCCCTTTTCAAAACAGCGCTTAAGCAGGTATATAGTATATATATATATACATACATGTATATGGCGTAGGACAAAATCTAAACCCTGTACCCATAGCCATCCTAGAATGATCCGCTAGTCTCGCCAAAAAAGAAGCTCCGTGAGGAGACATCTGTCCGTTAAAGTCCTAGCAAGTACCACTATGGGCTATTAGACCTTAAGGGTACCTTAATCTACCCTTAATAGGGTCCTAATAGGGTATTTTAGGGTCTAATGGCCCATGGTGGTAGGTTAGTAATAGGGATAAGCGACCTTATGGGTTCCATGTTGCAGAGACTCCTGCTCAACGATCCTAGTTGAAAGCTCAGGGGACTAAGCAAGCAGGTGAATGATGGGCTTACAGCGCATCCCCTGTTATCGGGATTCACCGGCTTACAACCCCCTTTTTAAGCTACTTACCCAGTCCCGTGAGCCTCGAAGATGTGCTGTCTCTGTCCAGGGACAATGCAGGGACCGTCTGGATATGCAGAAGGGTCATACATGGTGTCATTGTCATGCGATTGCCTGCAGGGCCCCCCCAAACCAAAAAAACCTTACGATTGGTGAGAAGATGAAGTCCCCCTCCCGCCAACACTCACAACGCAATTATTATCATCCCCATATTCTATTCCTCTCTTCTCTACCAACTACCCAGAACCTCCTGTGTAGTTCCTTTTGGGGTAGTCCATTACAAGCTCTGACCAAATAAGCCATATCAAGCTTCGAAACCGACTATCGAGGAGCCTTGGCGCACGCAAATCTACACAACCTGAACCCCTTGCCGTCCCATGGTCAGCATGCCGCTCCAGGTATCCGTTTCACCAGTCCCTGTACTTGCACAACACCTCTGCCTGCGAACTCAGGGCGCGCGAGAAGATGGCCTACAGTATGTGTACTGTAGCCTAACCCCCTTAGAGGGGGCTTACATAAGGATTACGTAGGGGACTATTCTCGGGGTTGTCAAGGGGGATACTAGGAGTTTAGACTATGGCTCGTGTGTTCCTCAACATTAGTGGGCCGCGTGCTGGGTGTTCCTACAACTGGGGTCTCAACAATCTAGGAGCCAAAGCAAGGCGACTTCTCAATTCAGAAATACCCATACGAAGCCGAGGCCAAGAAAGCATTCATGCACTTCAGTCATGTCAGTGTTGGATTTGTGGGTTCAGGGTTTAGGGTTTAGGGATTTGCTTTGGGGTTTGCTGGGTCTTTTTCGTCAACATCCCCAAGCTCACGAGCGGAAGGCCTAATGCAAAACCCCAGACGCCTGCAATTCCTAAACCGCTGAGCTCTAAACCCTACGCCCCGAGATCCGGAACCCTTAAGCCCTAGACACCCAAATCCTAAACCCTTAAGCCCTAAACCTTGAATCCTTGCCGGGAGGGGGGGGGGTCAGGGGAATCAGCTAGTAAAGCTGGTTATTGCCTCGGATAGCTGAGGTTGCTGCATAGCTCTTAGGGTTTATGTGTACACATACTGGAGCCCCCCCCAACCCTCCAGGCCAGGTATATACCTTAAACCCTAAACCCTATATATATACATATATATATATATATTCGTAAGTTTATATACACGCATAGAGATCCTCAACAGAAAAACATATCAATTCTGCAAGATCTGGGTAGGGTAGAATAGAACGCTCAAGCCTGCATCAACCTTGAAAGCGGCCTCCCGACCAGGTTGAGGGTGTAGGGTTTAGGGTCTAGGGTCTAGGGTTTAGGGTTCAGGGTCTAGGATCTAGGGTCTAGGGTTTAGGGTTCGGGGTCTAGGATCTAGGAGCTAGGGTTTAGGGTTTAGGATCTAGGCTTTAGGATCTAGGGTTTAGGGTGTAGGGTCTAGGGTTTAGGGTCTAGGGTCTAGGGGTTAGGATAAAGGGTCTGGGGTCTATTTAGGGTTTAGGGCTTATTCAGGCAAGCAACGGCTTGCGAAGTCCTGTCAGACAAGGTCTTGCCTGCCAAGTTCATGGTGGAGGCACAGGCCAGCGGAGCTTTTCGGGCTCAGGATTTTGGCTTCAGGATGTAAGGGCTTCAGGGGTGTAGGATTTTGATAGATTCAGGGTTTGGGGTTAGGATGTAAGGGCTTCAAGGGCTTAAACTTTTCATGGATTGAGGGTTTAGGGTTAAGGGGTCTAGGGGGTTAATGTTTTAGTGTGTCGTGGTCGTTTGGGGTTTAGGGTCGTTGATTAGGAAGGGATTCCTGGTCGCAGATAAAGATTACCTTCTGGATGGATTTAGGGGTTAGTGTTTAGGGTACCCTAAACCTTAAGCCCTTAACCCTGAACCCTAAATGGAGGTGACTGTTTGGTACCGAGGCCAGACTGCTTTCACTGGACCCTCCAACACTCTTTCCTTCATTGGGGCAAGACTTCCCTCTGGTCCCTCTGTCCATTGGCCCTTTAAACACACCATGCTAGAACACCCCTCAGCTCGGATGGGCCGCATTGCTGTCCAAGATTCAAGAAAGGACCCCTTGATCTGGAGTTATCCTTAAGAACTTCATGCTATACACTAGTCACTATTCTGACTTTCCCTTTCATCCCTCCCGTAACTTTAGGGTCATAAGCCTAAAGAACCATCGTGTAGATCCTTACCGATGACCTGTATGAGGCCTACATTCCTTTTTCTCGCGCCGGAGCGCTAATCAGAATCCCGAACGTCAGACCTTCAACCCTACCCTGAGCCCTAGGTTTAGGTAGGTTTAGGGTTTAGGGCTTAGGGTTTAGGATTGGACCCTTCACCCTGAACCCAAGAGACATGAACTCACAAACCCCACGCCCCTACATCCTTTAGCCAGGAAGACAAGTCCAAGGCGGAGTTCGAGCCGGATCAGTGGGTCCGCTTCTTGTGTTGGGGTTTAGGGTCTAGGGTTGAGGGTTCAGGGGAAGGATCAGGATTTTTCGAATTTTGTCTGCAGGATTTAGGGTTGGAAACCAGGATTTAGGATTTTCGTTGGAAGCTCTAAATCAGAAAAAAAACCCAAACCGCGAGTGTTGGGCTGATTGATGGTCCGAAATGATGTTGCCTTTTAGGAGCCCATGATGCAGGGTACCAATCTTTCCGCGATCCACAAACAAGGGTTGGTACCTTTGAAGGACTTCCTCCAAAGAGGGATGATCTAGCCTCTAGGGCTTTGGAAGTCTTTAGGTCAAAGGAATCGGGAGTGGGAGGACTTGGTAACTTATTTAAGAAATTGAGTTCTACCAAATGGTGGTTTCCGAAACTAAGGGGACCCTAATATAGACCCCCAAAATATCATGATCCTTATTATGAGGACCCCCAACTAATTTTCGGCAACCCCCCAATATATGAACTGTCCCGTATATGGTTCAAAGTCTAGTTTTACAGCAGGAAGAACTCGAGGCTGTACTGAGTTCGTTATAGGCTGTTTACCCAGCTCAAGACAACGCCACTACCTCTCCAAGAACGATTTCGGGGTTGCAGGTTCAAGGTTTTGCTGCCCATGTAAGTACCATATGGACCTTGAGTTGTGACTTAATAGTTCCAGGTTCGGTGCCAGCATTGAGACTCCCTGCTATGTTTGGGGTTGTTGAGATTTCAGATAATTCTAATCCGATTTGGGAGATGAGTTGTGTGTGAACTAGGTTTCTCCTTGGGCATCCTGTAAGTATGGCAGCTTGTTTTTTTTTGGGCGTGCAGGCGGTACTATCCATAGAGGATCGCGAAAAGGTTGGGAGTACTTTTTGGGAACTGATACTAGGGCATTGTTGGGGTCGATTTTGAGAGGGAGTTTCCAGAGTGCAGAGGTATGGGGCCCCACGATGGACTCATCCCAATTAGAAGCATCGCGTCCCAACAGGGATTCGGACCGGAATCTCAAAACAAGCTCGTATTCTGGAAAGAACATACTCTCTGTCAGCTGCACCATACAAAGAAGATGGCTGATTAGCATTTGCAGGAACAATTCTGGCTGCCATTCTACAGGAGGCTGAATAACTAGCTACTTACGCATGCTATTCGATCATATTCTTTGTATGACTTCTGGAAATGATCCCCCAAACTCGGTTCCAACTTCTAGGCCGGTAGGGACCCTAAACCCTAAACCTTAAATTGCTCATCTTGACTGTACTGTCTCACTCACTAAGCTCCGGGGCTAGATCCTACACGATCAGGTGGGTACTGTGCCGCCTTGTGCCTCCCATGTCATCACGGTGACACTGACAGCGCATACAGCAGGACCTGGTAAAGGGTTTAGGTTTTGTAGCAGTGTAGGGTCATCTAAATTCTGGTTCCCTTACAGGCTACCGGAATATTGGGGGTGCCGCTTTACGATGCCGAGACAGTGCCGTGATAATCGCTTGGAGGTGGGGTTCATGATTGAGGGATAATGGTTCTTGTAAGGTAGGTTACAGTTTCAATTCTCCCATATCGCTAATCCCACAAACTCAGCCTTAACCCTGGGATCCTTCTATACCTACCTAGATACCCTACATGTACCCGTAAGTTAAGGTCCCTAGAATCCCCCTAAAAGGTTTAAGGGCCCATATTAGGAGCCCGTACTTCTAACCTTAGACCTTAGGAAGGGCCGCTTCATGAGGGAGAACATGGGACATCCTAGATGTTTTTGGGCTCGACGAAAGGCTTTGAATGGTTAGCCATCCAGACTCAACATATTACAAGACAATGCGACGAAGCACTGAGACGAAAACTAAACTTTCGAGTTGGAGCTGTCCAGCAAAAGGCCCTAAACCCTAAACCGTGAGCCCCACACCCAAAATCCTAAACCTTACTCGACCAACCTTCTAAGGTTCAAAACCTTGCTGCTTGTCATCATACGGGAGTTTCCGAAATGAGGGCCCCCATAACATACCCCTAATTCCTTATGGCTTAACATACAAACTTCCACCAACAACCCCTAAACCCTAAATCCTAAACCTTAAATCCTGAACCCTAAATCCTAAACCCTGAATCCTAAACCCCAAATCCTAAACTTAATTCCTCAACCCTAAACCCTAAAATTTGTCGCATACAAACTTCCCACGCAAAAAGGGACCCCCTGTATTTGTCACAGGTCCCTAGGACGACTGGAACCCCGCGCCAGGTTTTTAGGGATTAGGGTTTAGGGCATAGGGGTAGGGTTTATGGGTACAAAATTGAAATTGCGGAAAATGAATTGGTACTTCACATGGAAAGTCCAATGACAAATGAGCAATTTTGCATGTGTATATATTGGTGGGGGGGTCCGCAGATAGGGAACCTACCCCCCCAAAAGGGACCCTTTACTATTTGTTTGGAAACGCCCCCAAATGTATGGATATTGTGTATGCATGGCCCAGATATCCCCCCTAGCTCAAGCTCAGTCAAATCAGCGTTAAAATGACATCATGGCCGGCGGCCCGGGAAGCAGACCACCCTTTGGGGTTTAGGGTTTAGGTTAGGAGGACCCCCTACCCAGTAATAGTGGCTATAAGGGATAATAGGGATTATATTAGGGTCCTCTTATATTCCTATTATACCACTATTACAGGGTGGGGGGTCCTCCTAATGTTAAGGGTTTATGCCGAAGGTTTACTTTTGAGGGCCGAGGGATGCTTGAGATTTTTGGAATAGGGATTAGGGTTTTACTGGCTTGCTGTTAAGGAAGTTAGACTAAGTTAGCAGAATGGGTATGTGTAATAATGAAAAGGGTTTCCCCCATATAGTAACTTGAATTCAGGAACTTGAGCCCTAAACCCCAAACCCTAAACCTTAAACCCGGGGGTTGCTGGAGGACCTCTTCGGATCCCGATGTACGTGAAGATTATGGGCCGAGACGTTCCCTTCCCACTTGTGGTGCGCCCACGCCCTGCTACTCTGGGGATTACGGCCATGCACCAGCAGACAGACCCATAAAGAACATCACAAGTTAAAGCCCTAAGCCCTAAACTGCTACCAACTGAGTAGTATTTCTTAATAGGGATGCTAGAGTCGTCCTCAAGAAGTATCGCGACTATAGATTAAGATTACAACCTCCTTGGCAGTATAGAATTATGGACACTCTAGAGCAAGATTCCAACCTCCTTTTCAGTATAATCTTGGAAAAGAAGATGGTTTAAACTCGTCAGAAAACCCTAAACCCTAAACCCTAATCACGTGGAGTGGCTTCATTCTCTACCAAAGGATGGCTAAGGCCTCAGGATGGAGGCTTGACGGGGTTGCTGTTAAGGACGTTAGATTAAGTTATCATAAGGGTTAGGGTTTTGGGATTAGGGATTAGGGTTTTAAGTCACCATAAAATGGGTATGTAGTACATCGTAGGGCTTCTTAATGGTAGTAACTTAATTTAAGTTCCCTAACAGCAACAAAGTTCAGCGGAGGGTTTCTCGTTTTACGGAAGTTCTCAGCGAGGAAACAGAGGACCTCCCGACATTCAATTGTTTCAGGGTTTATCTAGTGAGAAGGTTATGGTAGCCCCGAACCCCCCCCCCCCACCCCCACTGGGCATCTTTTTCTTTTCACGTGATATTTCAAGAGTCCAGATTTGGGGGATTCTTTGATACGCATTCCTACATAGCTCCTTTCTAGCCCCGGTATCAATTTCATTCGCCATTTTGATTCTCCTAAACCCTAAACCCTAGAATCATCTTCTTGTGAACTGTTCTCTTGATTGTGAAGTCGGGCCTTTCATATACGATGGGACAGGACAAGATACCTTGGGTACTGGTGTTGTGATACTCCCCGGCACTATATAACCTCTCTTCACCCCCTAGCCATCAAAATTTTCAGAGAGTACCAGTATAGAATACCAGGAACAACTGTTGTTTCGGGCATGGGGTTTGATGGGCGGAGGGTGTTCAATGTGATGCCTTGGTTGGAGTCTGTGAGGATCCAGAGATAGTATAGGTCAGAAGCTGATCTGAGAGATGCGAGATGTCTCGCATAGCTGAAACCTTCCACAGTTGCGTTGTGTTTT